TAGATCTATACGTTCCCCGAGACGTGTTTCTGTCGAGTCGGATCCCTTTTCAGTGTTATTTGAATTTTAAACGTCAATAACTTCGTAAATTCACCATCAGTTTCAATTCTTTTTATAAATCTAGTAGGGAGAGGTATACTGTACGAACAAATGGTGTAAGTTTCAACTTTTGTGTCGTTTTTCTGTGACTTTTTTCTTCTTTAATATGATATAGAAGTTTTTTGTTCAGTGTTCACAAGATTTTTTTGTATGTGTTTTGTTTCAAATCTAGATCTAGCATCTCTTAAAATGTAATAATAATGATATAGTGTGTTTACCAATATTGTGACAGTAGGCTTAAATGCAGTAACAAGCGCTGACACCCTGACTGGTGATACCCGCGATCCTAGAGTGATACGTTTTTATCAAGAGTCGTCACATGTGACAGCTGGACTTGGGGAACTGCGGACATATTGCGAAAAGCCTCGAATCTCCACTAAAGACTTAATATCTTTGCTTTAGGCAACGACACACAGATGCAGCCAAGTGATTTTGAAACTTTTCTCAATTTCTGACCCAATATCTTAGAGTTGTCAAAATCGACAGCAGCTATCATGTTCAAATTTAATGAAATAAATCATGACCCTCTATCAATGTTTAAACATCTATCCACTTTTCATTCTTCGTCATCTTGTATTTCTTAATCTTAATTAGTTGCATGATTGCTCTGAGAAATATGTCAGATGATGCTTATTCAAAGTATACGGTTTTATGCACAGTTGGTGTTGTAGTTTGGGCTTAGTCGCAGGTTAAACAAAGCTGAAAACTGCAGCAATAACATTTTCATCGCGAATCTGTCTGTCAGGTAAAATTCCCCTCGCTGACCTCTTGACCCGTTGGTAATGGCTGGTTCGAGTTACGCTGAGCGTCGGGGCGCTGCGGGGTGCCGGTAGAACTAAAGTACTGCCCGGGAACAGCCGTGTGCATGGCATGCAACACATTTTTCACAGTTCGGCTTATCCTAATGGAATTTGTCGAATTTAATGATGTTCGTAAGAAAATATTTTAAGTGTAAAGATGTCAAAACTCTTTGGCATTGTTGACCCAAGAAAAATTTTAAGTTATGTTAAAGAAATAAGACTATTTAATAGGATATAGAAATATATAGTTATCGTTATCAGTGTATATATACATACACTGAAATTAATAGTGTATATACAAATGTAAATAAGTCTTTGCCATATTTACAAAAATTGTCATTAATGTCTGTCCGTCCTTTTAGGCATAATGATGATAGTGTGACCGTGTGCGGTTGCGAGCTCCGAAAAACTCTTACTAAAACACGTCTGATTTTGTTTCGGTGAAACCTGTAGGCACTTATATGACTTACTTTACTTTTACTTTACTTTTCCGATCCAGCGGCCATTTGGGTTCTAGCCCTTGGGTCTGTCGATATGGCAAAGAATTGACAGGTTTTAATCAGCTGTGCTTTGTCACTGTATAGAGTGTTTCCGATGTCTGGGGAGGCAGGTAGGTAGGTGCTACACAGGTCACAAAGTGTTGGGCAGTTAAAGAGGTGGTGTGGTACTGTTTCATCCTGGCAGTCGCACAATGGGCAGTCGTGTGGGGTAAAACACTTAAATGACCAAAATTGGATCGATAGTGCCGTAAAACACCTACTCAATCAATCAATCAATCTAATTGGAAAAATCAAGTAAACAACAAACCTCTCAACATTAAGCCCAAACTGGAACTGAGAAATCCTTCGGGCCTCTCTGGAAGATGAAATCATTTTCACTCGATTGCGCAACGGAACACGTCATTGACACATAAATGCCTCCTTCAGGGAGATGAGAAGCCGTTCTGTGTCGGGTGCGACACAGATTTTACCATTAGCAGACCTGCCACTCATCCCGATTTAGTCAGGATATCCCGATTTTTTGCCCCAAATCTCAAGCATCCTGATTTTCCCGATTTCGATCGCGTGTATCCCGATTTTTTGTCCCAGTCCGCTGTTGTGCCGGATTTTTCTAAAAACGTACGCTGCCTTCTCCTTTATCGCGGGAAGCACCCGATGAACTTTTTGTCAGTAGGAACTCGAGCACAATTTCCAGAAATATCGATGCCGCATTTAGTAGGCCCTAGTTGACTCGCCCCAAGTTGTGTGTGATCTTTGCTTGCCCGCACTCAGAATTCTCCGATGATAGCCTGGTAGTGGTAACTGTTACAATTTAGGACTTAAAATCTTAAAAATAATCGATAATATTCGTACTTCCGCTGCTACTTTCAAAACAAGCCTTGTCCGAGGTCTGGTAACTGCGCGTTCACACCAAACACTCAGACGAGCGACTGTCTTTCTAACCCTTACACAACTACATGTAACTGCGCTGACAAGACTAACATACGGCCGTTGTCTTTGCTTTAGTCTGAACGCATTATGAGGGATAACAGATTTGTTGGTACAATTGGTCGGTCGGCCGCCGTTGTTATCCTAGAGTACTAGAAGTAGAACGACTGTCACTCATCTGAGAGTTTTGTGTGAACGCGCAGTTAGTCGGACCCGTTAATAAAATTGTTTCAATAGCGCACTCGCGTCACGTGACATGACATCGCCGTGTGAGTTCTGCGTGTAGGGGACCGTCCGTTGACGGGGTCAACTTAAGTTCATGTATTTCGGGACTTATTGGTTGGGGGGGGGGGGGGTATAGACACTTGGACTAGGAGTGCTTGACGTGATTCTTCAGGATTTACAAAAAATAATGATACCGTTAACTCGCACGCGCGCACACACACACACACACACACACACACACACACACACACACACACACACACACACACACACGCGCGCAGACAAACAAAGACACCCAGAGGGCATAGGCCAAGTAATTTATGGACACCCCTGGAAAAAATTTTAAGTCAGCTTTGGCAGTCACCTTTGTGATTTGCTGTTGATCCCGATTTTTTTCACCAAATCCCGATTTTTTCTCCCTGAGATCCTGATTTTGTTAACTCGCACGCGCGCACACGCACACGCACACGCACACACACACACACACACACACACACACGCGCGCACGCACGCACGCACGCACGCACGCAGACAAACAAAGACACCCAGAGGGCATAGGCCAAGTAATTTATGGACACCCCTGGAAAAAATTTTAAGTCGGCTTTGGCAGTCACCTTTGTGATTTGCTGTTGATCCCGATTTTTTTCACCAAATCCCGATTTTTTCTCCCTGAGATCCTGATTTTGTTAACTCGCACGCGCGCACACGCACACGCACACGCACACGCACACGCAAACGCACACACACACACACACACACACACACGCGCACGCACGCACGCACGCAGACAAACAAAGACACCCAGAGGGCATAGGCCAAGTAATTTATGGACACCCCTGGAAAAATTTTAAGTCAGCTTTGGCAGTCACCTTTGTGATTTGCTGTTGATCCCGTTTTTTTTCACCAAATCCCGATTTTTTCTCCCTGAGATCCTGATTTTGAGGTTTCCTAGAGTGGCAGGTCTGCATTAGACACATGTTAACAGAATGTCTAGACTTCGGAGAGACCTGAAGAAAATATTTTAGATACAAAAAATTGCAAGATCTCTTTTCTGTCGTTGATCCCAACAGAATTCTGGATTTTATAATGGCCTTTATGTGAAGTTGTAAATGGGATTGTTAAAAACATTTTTTTGTTATTTAAGCAGAGGTGTTGACCAGAATCAGACTGCAGTGTATTGTTGTTAATAGAACCAACCTTTTTTCATGCGCTCATATGACCTTATGCAGTTGTGAGCGCCGTAAAACTCTTACTAAAACAAACAAAGAATATTAACACCATCTTTGCCTTGAGCCCTTGCAGTTGCTCAGTGCCACTTTGCCCTTAGAAAAACTTTTGACTTCAGAACAAAGCCTGGAGTAAGGCAAACATTATATTGACAAGATGTTAGAAAATTCCTGCCCTTTAGTATCGTCATGCCTTTGTTTACGTTACATTTATACTTGACTTGACTGCAATCCCTGTCCTTGACACCCTATCGAAGAAGATTTTCCATGGCAATAGTAATATTACTGATTTTTAAGCCAGTTTACTAATTTTCTATGTTAATTTCTTAATGAAAACATATGCTGGTTGGTAGGCAGCCCTGTGAATTGTGTGCAAGGTGGATTATGATTTTAAAATACAGCTTTCTATCATCTGAGCAGATGATCCCTTTTGGGAGTAGGCCACCTCCATCTATGTTATGTTGTTTATGTTCCCAAAACTTGAAGAATTTAATGGAAGCGCCACTGTACTATGTTTAAAAATCCTCACTTGTCGAAAAAATCCCCAATTTTACATTGCTGATAAAATTTACGAGTGTCAAACGAAATTACCAGGCAAGTTACAATTACGTTCTTTTTTAAGTCTTAAGAGCAGAAATTCATGCAATGGGTGTGGGTGGGTGAAGGGCGCCACTGTTAGGTCCTACTTCTTTACCACCTACCAACCACCCGTACTCATTGCTTGAATTTCTGTGGGAAGGCACATATCCGGTATTATCACCACTTATGTCAAAGGGCTTCCTCTTCAACAGAGATTACACACTTTTTAATAGCTTATTGGCCTTCTACAAAGTTAGAGCAAAAGAAAGTTATACTAGTTGTAGAGAGTGAACCGTGGCGGAGCAAGAGAAGCAGAAAGGCTTCTCAGTTGGGGTCTATGAAAAATCAATGTAAAAAAATGCTAATCTGCCAATCAAAGCAACTATGAACCCAACAGGCACATTGGCTTGGCACAGGGGGCGTAGTTAATGTAAAGTTTTAAACCATTTGCTTAACTTTGTTTATCTCCCTTGTGAAATTCGTTGGTAGCGAAATTTGTGCGAAAAAGATCTCCATGCCCCATCGAATTTGCTATGTGCTTGCTAGACTGTAATGAATTTCAGGTTTTTCAGGACCCCTTTCCTTGTTTCTGTCATCCAGTTTATGCATTTTATTATTTGATTTGGTTTGTTTATCTTTGACAGCTATCTGGCCCCTTGTCCTCGACAATGGTTGCGATTATCTCTACCCAATTGGCTCCCTTGGCAGCGTCCAACTGGCAAGCTATTCCACCTTGTGATCCAACTACGTTGAATTCAGTCATATGGCCGGAGGGAAATTTCAAGGACACTTCTGATTATGACCAAGCATTTGAGAACGAGACTCAGAGTGGTCAGGTGAATGGTGTCTTTTGCGGTGGTCTTGTAGATCTGCCAGGTGTACCATCAGGAGTGGGGGGTCAGTTTTTTGTTTCGGATTATCCCTCTGATGTTGTTGGTTGTCAGTATGATACAAGTGATGATATATCCGGGCTTTCTCCGCAGCAAAAGGTTAAGTCTTCCCTCCTGTCTATCTGGTTTTTCGACTCCTTCCTTTCTCAGCTGTGGTCTGCGACCTCTGATAAGGTCAAGCCCCCCTCTTGCTGTGACCAAATTCAGCCAAGCCAGCGCCTTGATGGTGAGGAACTTGTGTCTCCTCAGTGCAAGGTGTGTTTACAGAAGAGGCGGAGAATTTGCTCTCACCGTCTGACATCGAGCAGATCAGGACTTCCTTCAGCCGTTTCGAATAGTTTTCACCATCACATGGACGTGCATCCCAAAATCTTTGCAGAACCATCAAAGAACTGTCCTGAGCGCTGTCTACATCCAGAGCCTCATGATGATGTGGTTATCCAGCTCACCTCGCGGTCAGACTTTACCTGTAGCATATTAACCCCTGATCCTGAGTCAAGAAAGGGCTGCCACTTCCGGAAATCTGATCACTGTAATTGTGACCTGGAAAATGCAAAGTTTCCTCTGCCTCCTCCCCATAGTTCTGGTGACCTCTCAATCTTGCCTCCTCCGTGGAAGACCTCCGATTCTGGTGAGCAGATACAGATGTCCTTGATGGCTGATGCTTACTTACTGCGAGTCCCTCTTGGCTTCCACACTGGCCTCCCTCATGCTCTGGAGGTCACATGACTCTGATTGTCAATGTTTGACAGATTTGCCGCTACTTACAGTCTAATCTAAGGCAACTTCTTTTTTGTGTGATTGCGCAATACTATCTTAAAGATAACATCTAACTTGTCTTTGTTCTGTTGTATTTGAAAGATAACTTGGCAAAGTTCTGTTTTCATTATAAATATATGTATTATGAACATGTTATGGTGACTGGGGTTTAAGCCACCTTTCCTTGATGCTCGTTATATCTTTTCCTTCAGTTTTATGCAAAGAAAATTCTGAAATTATGCAAACTAGGCCCAAAAATGTGAAATTATGCGATTCTGTTAATTTTAACAAAGAATGATGAAGGAAAATAATCTGAAATTATGCAAAAAATGGTCAAGTTTTGCTTTAAAATTATGCGGGGTGCCTAAAACCCTGGGGACAGTTATATAGCATTGATCATATAGCATACTTCCGTGGTTCCACATAAAAGGCATTTTATTAGTGGTTTAAGTAACGTGTTAAAAAAATATTATGGGGCAATTATATTTGTGTCACGACGCGGTGGAATCAGGCACTTGTCAATTTTTGGGCTTGTGGAGTTACTGGTATCAGCTGATTCATTTGCCTTGCTTTCATCGAAAAATAATACCCTTCTTTCTTGAACGGAAGTCGAGATATTTATTTGCATTTGAAGATGGTAGGGTCGCTTGGTTTCAGTGGTAAAATTAACGAGAAAATGGCCGCCAAAGTTTGATAACTTCAATAGCCTCAGAGTCAGTGAAAACTGAAAAATCACTGATTTTGTGCCTTTCATCGTTTTTCGGTAAAATTCACATGGAAATGAGTTTTTATATGGACATAAAAATTGTGGAGCAAAAGAACAAAAATTCTATAAATATTGCCAAACTTGCGGAAAAATGCCAGTTTCTTCACTGATTAATTTGACCAGCGCCTGATATCACCACGCTGTTTCACATTTGTGTGAGGAGCTGCAAAAACCATTGACATGGGTCGAAACATGATGACTTAGATTATTATAATAAAAGTTATAAAACAGCTGTCATGAGCTTTTGCTTTTTATTTTAACTCTCATTGTTATCAAGATATGAGTTTTTATTACACAAGGAAGAAAAACACTGGGGGGAAAAAAACGCTTCAAAGTTTGCTCAATGTTTTTGACAGATATCACTTAAATGTAAACTAAAGAAACAATATTCTACATAAGTACAGTGACCACATCAACATACTTTTAGACTAAGTACAGGATATTCTAAATTAGCAGCTGGTGTTGAAGTGTTGACAAAGCTGATGTTACATCATTTAGATTCAACAAATGAGCTTGCATTGCAACACTCTTTTCATTGGGACTTGCCATTTTGAAAGTGAGTGTGATCTGGTCAAGGGTTATGGTTCGGATGCTTTTCTTGCTCGTACTTACACTTTATTTAGAGATAATGACAAACTATTGCCTCTCAACAGTTTTTCAATGATTGGTTGAGACTGAGACTAAGCGTGTATTTTAAGTAATTGTGGTACCGGTAATCGAGGACGGATTGTATTGGTGCCTTAGATGGCACTTGATCTTCATCTCAAATTAGGAAAGTGGCGCACTGATCTGGATGCAAGTTTTATTCTTCTTTATTCATGATATGCGCCTTACTTTTCATTCACTTGTTCAAAGTATGGGCTTTCCAACATGTATAGTCGGTGGGGGTCATCTCACAATACCTTATAGAATCAAAGATAGTACATAACAAGATGGTCCACTCAGCCGAAAAAGTGTCCACCGGAAGTCTGCTCTTCAGATGGCGCTGCAGTCTGTTTTGAAGCTCTCTTTCGTTTCTCCAGAAGAAGAATAGGAATAGCACCTCCTTGCGTGCGCAGATCGACTACTGTTCATCAGCTGTTCGGGTTCGTTCACTACAGAGTTTTAGATTTTTAAAAAGTTTTAATGACCCAGGGCTTTCATTTTGCGGTTTTCTGCAAATGGAAAAATTTTCGTGAAAATTCGTGCAAAAATAATATTTAAAAAAAAATTATTTTAAAATGCGAAATAACAAATTTCCGTAATTACTAATACCCAAGACGGATTAAGACAAGACAAGACAACTCTTCTTTACAAGCGCAGTAGTGATGGGCCGATACCACAATTTAGGTATCGATGTCAATACCTAGTACTTTTCCATGGTATTGATACCGATTACCTCGATACCTAATGCTATTAGTAATATACGCCGGGGGTAATAAGTAAAGACAAAAATACAACTATACTTTTCCAAGTATTTAGGTTATCGTGTCTAGACAAGTTGTGACTATTTAGCTGAGACTCAAACAAAAATTATTTGTAAAAGAGAGAGAGAGAAATAAATACCCAAATATGAGAATAAAAACAAAAACTAAGTGAAGAATGGGAGG